TCTCTGATCCAAACACAATCCCTAAACTCTTTTCTATCACAGAATAATTCTTTTCGACTGGAAGTGTCCTGGATGCATGCGTAATAGGTTTACTTGAGCCATCTACAAGTTTATATATAATGCAGGGCCCTATTCTGTATGCACTAGCATTGCTTGTTGTGATTATTTCTTCTTTTGGATCATAATGTGTCAAAAACAAGACAGACATTAGGATTTCTTTCATTTTTTCAAATACCTCCTGGCGTTCTGTTGTCCAAACCCATTTAGTCTTTTTTTTTTTTTTAATAGTTCATTTAACGGAGCTTGCAAACAATGCATGTTTGGCACAAATACATTGTAATAACTTGCCAAACCCAGGAAACTTTGTAAGGCATTGACATTTTCAGCAGCAGGCATGTCTTTGATAGTACTGGCTTATGCTGGATCTGGTCTTCTGCCATTTTTGGCAATTATTTGTCCCAAATATTTGATTTTATCCATAAAAAGTTCAGACTTTTTGTCTTTCAGCTTGAATCCATAGTCTTGAATCATTCTGAAAACTGTGAAAACATTTTTCTTGTGTTCTTCTGGGTTTCCACTTTTCTGCAAAATATTGTCAAGATAAGCTACTGCAAAGTGAAGTCCACTAAGCATCGTATCCATTACTTGCTGAAAAATAGCTGAAGCGACTTTTATTCTGAAAGCCAAACGATTGTATTTATACATTCCTCAATGTGTGTTTATCATAAGTAATGTTGAACATTCATCGTCCACTTCAATCTGCAGATACGCGTCACTTAGGTCAATTTTCAAAAATATCCAACCCCCACTAAGTTGCGCAAAAACCTCTTCCAGCCCCGGAAGTGGGTAATGATAACTTTTGAGGGCATCGTTTAAGCCCGTGGAGAAATCCATGACGACACATATCTCTTTAGACTTTTTCTTTATATATGCTGTTGGTGAAGCCCAATCATAATATTCCACCTTAGATAAAACACTCATTTTTTCGAGTCTGTCAAGCTCATTATCGATCTGTTTTAATGATGCAAAGGGTACATTCCTTTACTTTTTGAAAACCAGTTGTACATTTTCCTTTAGCTCAAATTTAGCTTTCATTTTCTTGCACCTGCCTAACCTATCAGAAAATACCTCTGGGAATTTAATTTTTAAATCTTTCTTCAAACTTTCTGCTTCATTGGTAAAACCTTCAACTTCTTGGCAAAACAAACTGATCAGACTGTTCCATAAATTAAACTGCTCCATCCAGTTTGTTCCAAAAAGGTTATTTGCATTTTTTCATTACAAACAATCTTAATGTCAAGGTTTTATCATTTAACATCACATTTGTTATAATTTCCCCTTTGAATTTTAATTTCTGTCCTGTAACACTGCAAGCGATTTTCTTGGTAATCATTAACATTGGTTTACATATTTTTCTCCATGTATATACATTTATTATGCTTAAATCAAATCCACTATCGAATTGTAATTTGATATTTTTGTTAAGGATTTTTACCTGCACAAATTTCCTTATATCTCAACCAGTAGATTCATCCATATTAGTAACTTTAACATAATTCCTCACTCATCTTTTTACTTTTGTCTTACAGTGGGTTTTCTTATGTACACACTGCTTATTTCAATATCGTTCGCATCTTGTCAAATATTTATAAACCTTTGACAATCTTCTGCTAGGTTTTGTAAAGTCAAATTGTGTTGTTTTCCAGTTTATTTAAAACTCTTCTCCTGATTTCAGCATCTTTTGTTGACACCAAACCTTGAACAAATATCGGGCATTTAAATTTGTCAGGGCTTAATTTTGCCAGTTTGAACTTCTCACACTGATCATTCACAATGCTTGTGAATGTTGTGAAATCGTCTCCTTTTTTTCTAAGTTCATACATTTCCATCTTTTATGGAACAACAACGTCATTGGACTGAAAACTTCTGAAAGCACAGTAACCATTTCTTTAAACATTATGAACTTTGTGTGTTTGACAGCACCTAGTTTCCTTAGCACTAGTCTGACCTTTTTGTGGTCGGACCATTTTGCATAGTCCATTTTGTAAAGGTCTTCATATCTACGGAAATACGACTAAAAAGTTACCTCCTCTTTTGACATGTAATGAAATTCAGTAATCGTATTTACGATAACATCCTCTGAATTTTAGTTCTTGTTACTCGTTAATGTTTTCTGTTGTTGTTCTACCCACAATTCCATGAATTTTTCAAGTCTTTGTTCGTAATGTCATCTCAATATTTCCAGTAAAACCGTTTTACAATCCTTCATTTTGTACTTTATATGAACTACTTTCCGCAAATATATTTATATTTTTTTAGACAACTGTTCCTAAAAATACTTTAAGTATTCCTACAAATTAACTTCTAACACAACTTTACACTGAGAAAACCTCTCAGCAATACATGATTTTTGTAAACTTTAATTTCACATACCTTTTGTTACATTTTTGTAGTTGAAATAAAATCCCATGTTTTCTGAATGTTGTATTTCAAACAACTTGGTAAAAATCCACGTAATTCTTAGAAAATCCTTGCAGTCAAAAATGCTTTGTAGCTTTGCTAATTATTATGTCAGTGTTGCCGACATCTTCGTTCATAGAATATCGAATTCATGAATGTTTACGTGAGCTTTGTTCTGCCAAAATATCTGTTTGCCAACGTTGTACTGGTGAATGCTTACTTGAGTTCAGCCAAATCCTTGTCACCAAATTGTTATAACCTAGAAAAGGTTACTAAATAAGAATAACCAAAACAAAAGTTGCAAATAGAACGATAATCTTTATAACATTAACAACATATAAGATTTGCCACTGCTAGTTAGATAGTATATTCCACTGTATTTATGAGGATTGGGACATATCCATCATAGTCCATATGTACGGAATAACAACAATTATATATATATATATATATATATGTCGTCTCTACACAAAAAAATGGCAGTAATCTCATAATCTCCCACACACAACAAAGGGAATTACTAAACCATTGATCGGAAATAATTTTAAAATGCGGACACAAAATTAAATATCTATTATCACAGTTCATACCAAATGGATAACACCTACAACATAACTGAACACAACCAGGAATGAAACACTACCATTGTTTTTATTATCATCATTATTGTTATATTATCTGTATTATTATCATTGTCATGGTTACCACAATTATTATCATAGCTATAATTGTCATTCTTATCCCCTCCTTTTTTTAAAATTTCATCATAAAGGCAAAATTTACCATTAACACATCAATATCTATTATTAACATTATCAATAATAATTAGTATCACAGCTATTATCACTACCAGCATAATCACAACCATCAACAACAGAAAAGCAGTTAGCATTGAAAATACAAACATCATAACCACTGTGACCACAAACAAAACCCAGCTGAACCAAAGTGGTGGGGAAATGGCCCAGACCAACAATAGTGTATGTGCACGTTTACACGTGTGTATGTATGTGTGAAGTAGTGTAAGTTTCTCTGGCCTATGCAGTGGATCTGAAAAAACATCAAGACCAACCCAACTTCCTTCTTGATGAAACGAACATTGCTACACATAAAAAACTAAGGTCCTCACACCAAAACAGAATTAGAACACATATCTATGCAACTTTGTGTGTGTGTGAATACATATATATATATATATATATATATATATATATATATATATATATATATATAATCAGAATAATAATAATAATAATAATAGATGCTCGTATACTGAACAAAAATTGGGGGTCAGCAGTTAAAGAAAAAAAAAATGTGTATGTATATATATATATATATATATATATATATATATATGTGTGTGTGTGTGTACATATATATATATATATATATATATATATATATATATATATGAAAATGACTTAAAATAATTGTTGGACTTTGTCCATTTCATAATGTGTGACATCATTTGTTTACATTTGGATATGCTTTGAGCAGATATGAATGTATGTGAGAGAGTCATGGAAGATTGAAGTTTAAAAGCAGTCAAATCGACCTTGCTAATTGAATGATCCTCCATGGCTCGATTGGTTAAGGTAACGTTTTATATATTTATATATTTATTTATATTTATATACACACACTTTTCACATATATATATATATGTGTGTGACCAGGATAGACTTGTGGGAATTACCACGGCTGTCTGAAAGAAGAGAGAAGGTTGCATTTGTTTTGTCCAGTCAGGACCAAGTAAGACCAGAAAGGACTCTAGTCTTCGGACTATATTGGTCTGAAAGAGACATAAGGAGGAAAAGAGAAGGAAGCAAAAGGAGGCAAAAGAAACAAAACACGGAGCGGTCAACCTCAGGTAAGTCACTTTTTGGTTTCCTTTGTTCATTCATTGCACTTAGATCTGCCAGTAATATTGTTGATCTTGTTTTGACTTTGTCGACTTTGTACGCAGTTGAAGCGCCACCACCATGTTAAGTATTTTTCCTTTCATTTTTTGTCGTTGGTCTCTCTTCTCGTGGGGAAAGTGGTAATTGAAAAGACGCTAGGATGAGCGTAGCAGGATAAGACGCCACAGATGACCTTGAAGCTAGCTACCTATAAAGGAAACCCTGCGGGCATGCACAAATAGATTCTGTCCATTCAGAAGAAGCAGGTGATCTATGGCCTCTCGGACCAAGAAATGGTGCTCCTAGCTTACGACACCGCAGCGGGGCAGGTGTCCAAGTTCATAGGGGGGTGGTCCAAAGAAAACCCAACCCGGACGTGGACCGAGCTTCAATTTGCTCTAGCGTGGCAATATGCAAGTGAGCGTACGGGCATTGGCGCAGTCAGGAAATTATTCCGGCTACAGCAACAAGGAGAGACTAATGAGGAATTGGGGGAAAGAATCACGGGGTTAGTGACATTAGCTTTTCCGGAGTTGGCGACTTGGGACGGTGGTCCTATTCAGGTTTTGTTGGCCAATGTGTATGTGGATGCGCTGAGTGACAGGGACCTGAGGGGCGATATTCTGAAGAGGGGAGCAGTCAGACCAGTGAGCGACTCTGGGATAGAATAAGTGGGGGTGTAGGTATGAACCCGGGGGGGGGGGGTTGGCAAGGTAGTGATGAAAAAGAAAGACCAGGAGCAGATCCAGATACAGGACCTGAAAGAAGAGGTGGAAGAGGACTGAAAGGCTGAGGCAGTTCCCTATAGGAGAGCCTGGGATCTGCGTTATGGATTTCACAAGCTCACACCGGGCTGATATGGGCTGATGTGCTGGACTTGCAAGTATGGTGTGAATCGGGCCTGCGACTGTCTGACAATCTATGGAGGCAACCCAAGGTCTTTGGAGCCAGACTGCACGACTTGTGGCAAGTTCTGGCATCTGGTGTATGGCAGAGGGAGACTGTAAACTGGAGATAAAGCGAGTTAATACGCTGGTGCCCCCTACCAAGAAGGAAAAGGGTCCGGGAAATGCCAATGGGTCACCCATGAAAAAGTAAGAGGCAGGGTGGCCCCAGTGCAAGTAAGACCTCTGAGATGCTGGACATGTGGTGTGGTCGGGCACTTTTTGGCCAGTTTTAAGGAGCGAAGGTGTTGGTGCTATGGAGAAGCGGGTCACCTGAGATGAACCTGTCCTTGCAGATGGACCATACCAAACGCAACAACCCTAACTCAAAAGGAGGGGAGAAAAGAATTCTGAGAAAAGGTCATCCGATCTCTACCCCACCCAGGAGGACCTCTAGGCAGAAATTGGAGCCCCTAGAAAAAGGTGAACTCCTGTCACCGACTCCCACATCTCAGTTGTCGAGAAAGCGGGAGGAAGAGAGAGAACATACGGGAAGGAGAAAGGCACAGGTATACCGTTTGCTGAAGGAAGGGCCAGACTTCACTTGTAATATGTTGCTGGGAGACAAGAAGATGAAGGCTCTTGTCGATACTGGAGCTTCAGTGTCACTGGTTAGCTCCAAGTTTTTTAGACAGTTGGGACTGAAAACAAAGCTTAGTCCCATCGATCTACTAATAAGTCAGGCTGATAGTAGCAGGATGAGGATAGGGGGTTATGACATGGCTACCTTTCCAGTTCGCAAGAACCAGAGGTAAACTTAAGGTTTATGTGGCACCTGACTTGTGTGGTGAGCTAATTCTAGGGAGTGACTGGCTTAGGCAGAATAAGGCACAGATCCGTTTTGATCCCACCACCCTAACATTGGATGGGGTAGGGATAATGTTAGGAGAGGATAATTATGAACAATTGCCAGTGGTGGCCCAGACAGATATAAAGCTTCCCCCTTGGACTACTGTATCTAGGAGGGGCAAGATTATAACAGAAGGAGTGCTGAACAGTGACCTGTACCAAGTATGGAATGAGAATAGGCTTGGGAATAAGACAAGTAGTGATGAAGATATAACAGCTCTTGAGCGTTATAGGAAGAAATTGGGGGGGGTTGCTGAATGGTAATCGGGAGGTAATAGACATTACGGATAAGGAACTGGGACAGATGGAGACAATTGAAATGAAGATAGACACTGGTAATCACCCACCTATCAAGCTAAGACCATATAGGACCCCAATCTACAAAAGAAAATTAGTAGAGGACGCAGTGACTGAAATGATGGAATCAGGGATAATCAAAAGATCCAAATCTCCCTGGAGTTTTCCAATAGTGATTGTTGAAAAGAAGGATGGAGGGCATAGCTTTTGTGTGAAGTTTCATCAATTAAATGCCATTACGAAACTGCTGACAGTGCCCCTTCCCTTGATTGATGATATCCTAGCTTTTTTAGGAGAGTCTAAATGTTTTTCTACCTTGGATTTGAGGTCGGGATATTGGCAGGTAGAACTTAGCAAAAAGAATCGGGGAAAAGACCAGTTTTACCTGCCACATGGGTCTCTTCAATTTTACAGTTATGCCGTTTGGGTTAGCAAACGCCCCAGGTGTATTGAGTCAGTTAATGTCCATCGTATTGAATGGCTCTGAGGCATTTGCCATGGTGTATCTAGATGACATCATGGTGTTTTCAAAATCACCGGAGGAGCATTTTGAACATGTGCAGAGGTGTTCGATAGGTTAAGAGAACATGGATTAAAGTTAAAATTATCAAAGTGTCAGTTTATGAAAGAAGAGACAAAGTACTTAGGGTTTATCATAAACAAAGAAGGAATAAAAACAGATTTAGACAAAGTAGAGGTTATAAAAGCCATGCCCGCACCGAAGACCATAAGAGAGAGAGATTAGGGGATTTATTGGAGCCATCGGATATTATCAGAGGTTCATACCAGCATTTAGTCAGCTAGCAGGCCCTCTAACAGCTCTAGCTAAGAAGCATGCTAGTTTTAAGTAGACTGAGGATTGTCCGTGTGCGTTCGAGGCTCTAAAGGACCAGCTGACAGCTGTACCCCTGTTGGCCTACCTAGACCTGAGTAAGCCCATGGTGCTGTACACCAATGCTAGTGATAAGTGTATCGGGGCGGCTCTTACAAGTTCTGATAAGGATGGATCAGTACCGGGTGTGCTTGAGGAAGTGCTGATCTATTTTCTGTCTCATCGGCTCTCCAAGACTCAGCAAAGGTGGCCAGCAATAGAAAAAGAGGTATTCGCCATTCTGTATGCTGTGCAAAAATTAGATTATTATTTGAGTGGGGCTGTGTTTACCATTAAAACAGACCACAAACCCCTTAAATATTTGTTAGAGTGTACGAATAAGAAGATACAACAGTGAGCATTGAAGTTAAGTGGGTATAACTGCAGAATAGAATATTTGGAAGGGAAGGATAATACCTGTGCTGACCTGTTATTGAGGATTCCAAGGCCGAATCTATCAGGTTGGAGCCGGGTGTGGATGATAAAGTATTCCAAATTAATGTGATCAATTCACAAGCATTGAAGGAGAGACTTAGTTGGGAAGATCAGGAAATGAGTGAAATGGAGATTGTTTCTGACCTCCACTGGAGAAATATTATTAGGCAAAGCCAAGAGGATAGCAACTATCAGGTCCAGGGCAGAGACAGGGCATACCTCCAAATATATGGTGCACAATGGAGTGTTGGTATACCTGAGAAGTTGAGAGCTGAAATTCTAGACCACTGCCATAGGAGGTTAGGACACCTGGGAATTGATAAGACGTATGGATTAATAATGAGAAATTACTACTGGCCTAAGTCGTTTAATGATGTTGTGAACCATGTAAAAAAATGTGTAACATGCCAAGTACAGAGTCAAAAGAGTAGGGTTGCCCCAGTATTAGAAACGGATGTTCTGAATTATCCATTTCAGAAAGTAAGCATGGATATTTCTGGGCCCTATGGAGAAACATAGAGGTAATCTTTACATAGTGAGTTTTGTGGACTGGCTGATGAATTGGCCTGAGGCATTTGCCATTCTGCATAAGAAGGCACGAACGGTGTCAGATATAATACTGAACGAAATATTCCCTAGGTATGGGGCCCCCAAACAGTTGGTTACCGATAATGGATCAGAGAATGTGAATCAGATTATGAGAGAGACATTGGGAGAATTAAACATACAGCACATAACCACCTCTCCATATCACCCCCAAAGTAACGCTAAGGTAGAAAGATTTCAGAAGACCCTCGCTGATGTGTTAGTTAAACTAACAGAGGATAATAGGGAAAATTGGGATTTATTCGTAACCCAAGTGTTAGCAGCTGTAAGATTCTCGAAAGATGAAAAAATTTTCCCCTTATTACTTGATATATGGCAGGGATATAGTCTTACCTATAGACAATCTGTTACAACCTAGGAGGAAGTACTTAGGAGAGTATCATCACCAAATAGTTTTAGAATAACAGCATAAAATTTTTACGCTGATGAGGAGGAGGAGGATTGAAAGACCCCAGAAGAGGTGAAACAATAGGATAAATGAAAATAAAGAAGTTTCCTTCCAGATAGGTGATCCAGTGTATTATAAAATACACCTGGGAGAAGATAAATTGGACCAGAGATGGAGTCCATACTATAGGATCATGGAGCGGACGGGTCCAGTTTCCTTTGTGATCTGGGACCAATTGACCGGACAGGTAAAGAGTGCATGCGAATGATATAAAGCTAGCTGAAATAGGAGAATGGAAAGGAACCGAAACAAAAACTCAACAGAAAAGGCTGAGGAAAACTACATTGGTAGAACCCGAAGGGTTAGAGACTGAGAGTGAAAATGAAGGGAGTGAGGAGATTGAAATTAGCCCAACTACTCTTTGAAGGCTGAGGGAGGTAAGTTGGACATTCTGAGTATTGAGCCTAACCTTAGGGAAGAAAAAGAACTGAGTGAATGGGAAGAAGAGGATGAAATTCTGTTAGCTAAATTGCAGAGTAAATTGCGGGCTGAAAAAGCACCTAGTGTTAATGAGGAATTACCACTAAAACTGCAATTAAGGGGAGAGGTGCAGCCCAAGACCAAAGATTAAGTGAAACCAGTACAGTGGCTGTGGTGAATGAGTGATGGTCTGGGACTAACTGCATTTATCAACAGTGCTGGTGAACTGTGTGGACAGCCCCCATGCATGCACGGCGCTGGTGGTGGTATGGGTTGGTGCTTGAGGTATCGCTCTAAGATGTAACCACCCACTAAAAACAATAAGAAAAATGATAGAGTAAGATTTAATTATTCTCTCCATCTCTTTGCAGACATGGACGAGAAGAGGCTCATGGTACTGATGATGCTAGTTGTGGTAGCTAATACCTGGGAACACAGTGAGAATACTGTATTTAAGAAAACTAAGGAAGTGATTATAACTAGATGAAAGTGGTTGATAACTTTGGTGATAGACCTGCAGCCGTATCAGAAGTTACTGGGTCACTTAAAGACCGAAGTGGACAAACTAGATACAACAAGGATACAAGTTACCGGAGACTATTTACAGATTCCGGAATACCACCATATATTCTACTCCCTAATACTTGAGAAACAATGGAAGGATATGAGTTACTATTTGAAAGGAATAAAGTTGTTACGGACCAGGCAAAAGTGGGCAGTATTACCTATAATGGGAAAGGCATTAAGCGTGTTGTTTGGTACAGTCTCCAAAGGCAAAGTGAGAATAATTAAGAGGAAATTAAAGGTGATAGAACAGAGACAACAAGCAATGGTTCAGTTGGTTAGAGAGAGCGTATCTATACTCAATGTTACTAGGCTGGAATTGGCTAAGAATAGAGAGAGTATTAATTGGCTGATTTCTCACCTACAGGTTTTTAGAAAAGAAGTGATAAATGTAACCACATCTGTAACAACCGAATTACAGAAATTAGAGGGGTTTTTGCAAAGGTATTTTCAATTATTAACTATAATGAGTAAGGTACATCAAACAAGTCACTCTTTAACGGTGTTGTTAGAGCATGTGAGAGCACAATAAGACATGCTGTCGCTGGGACACCTGTCTCCGAGTATAATAACCCCAGAACAATTAAGGGAAGTACTACTGAAGATACAAGCCAAACTACCCCATCATCTTAGATTACCTGTAGACCCCACCCAGCAGTTATGGAGGTACTATAGTGCCTTGGGATGTACTACCTTTGCTAGTGCTAGTGTCGGTTCCATTACTGGACAGAGATAGTACCTTTGAAATTTATCAGGTGATGAATCTTCCCTTTTCCTATCCAAAACTAAGGCCAAAGATATGAGCGGTGGTTAGGTACAAGATAGAGATGGAATTTGTAGCCCTAAACCTCGCCAGGACAGAGTTTATGCTATTAACAAAGGGAGAAGCAGAAAAATGCAAGAATGATGCCTTAGGTACCTGTGGGTCTGTAAGTCCAATTTACGTGACAGGTAGTCACAATCTGTGTGTACTAGATTTATTTAAGAAAAATAAGAAGGGAATTAAAGATCATTGTCAGGAAGAGGTGTTGGCTAATGTAATGGTACCTAAAGCAACCAGTGTCTGACGGAATTTGGGTGTGGCCACACAAGAAGAGATCGAATTATCTAAGGTGTGTGAAGGGAAGCCCACCACTACGATAAGTTATTCCCCCCTTTGTGTTTTGTAGAGCTACCCATTGGTTGTGGAGCTCATGGTCCATCTATCTCTTTACCTCCCTACTACCAAGCAGAAGAGAAGTTTGAATGAGTCTTTGTTAGAGCTGGTAGGAACGAATACCAGTGGATGGTCAGGATTTTGGGAACCCATTGTAAGAGAGATTCCTAAGATGTTGCTAGAAAAGATGCTGGCATTGTTAGAGCCAATCAATAAGATTGATCTTGGACGCATGAAATCGGAGTTAGATAGAAGATGTACGTCAAATTCAGGCTGGAGAGAGAATTTGGTTTCTATAATAAGCTGGCCAACCGTTGTGGAAATTATACTAATGATAGTCGTGCCCTTGCTGGTTTGCTGGTTTGCTGGTGGTTGAAGAGGCGTGCGGTGTTGTCGACTGGGCAGAATAAACTGGCACAGGAGTGCATGAGTGAAGGAGGGATTCCAGTTTGTGCACTTTACCAAGGTAGGTCTGACCCAAGTGCATTAGGATCCCTAAATGATATTGAAGAAGAGTCCACGATTGTCGTGGAAGGACCTGAACCAACAAAAGATTCAACAAAGCCTGTTGTGAAGGTGAGACAAAAACACACACACATGTATATTTTTTTTTTTTTAGCCACATTGGAGAAGATTTGAATAGCAAAATTAAATCAGGATTTTTTTTTTACTGATGGGGAAATCTGATCTAGGGCAGAAGTTGTATCCATTGAATCTAGGTCATAAGAAGACAATGGAAATGGTCAAAATAATTTTTATTGATTAAAAATTGAAATCGAGCTGAGTAAACTAGAAGGAACTTTGGAATTCACATGATTTTGGTTGAAGCAGCCAGAACCCCATGCAAAGTAGTAGGGCCAAGGGTCAGTTATAACCAGTCTGGTTTATCTATATAAACACGTGGCTATGCTGCAAAAGAGAGACGGGAGAAAATTCTTCAAGAGAGAATTGGCCCGGATGAGAGTTGGGAGGAGGAACGCCACTATAACTTTAAGCCCCACACAGAAATCTTTACCCCTCCATCGCAAGAGTCATATATCGTTCTGAGACGATTTAACAACAAGATAATCCCATACACACTCTCTCTCTGTATAGAATCCAGTGTGTGAGTTTTTTTTTTTTTTTACATTTCTTTTCTGTAACCCGTTTCCCTTCTCTACTATTCTTTTCTGTGATATAAAAGACATTACCAATTCAACCATTGAATCGATGTTTGTCCAGCTTTCTGCAGATATCATTTTATTTTATTTTTTTTAATGCATTCTAAATATCTTAGCGCAGACTCCCCAGCCGTGTTTACATCTTCAGTCAACCATGAACGGACGGACATCACTTCTGCTTTCTGGATCAAACAAATCTGGCAATGGGCAGGAAGCTAAAGATTAAACCAGCGGACTGGTCGAAATAATCTACAGATGCTCAGGGACCTATGGCCCTCCTTTAAGTTCATTTAGGACTGAAAAGACACCTCAACCCGAGAGTAAGATACGGAGGTTGAGGGCTTGGGAAAATGTTAGAGATATATATATATATATATATATATGTGTGTGTGTGTTAATACGCATTAAATATGTATATATAATATATATATATATATATATATATATATATATATATATCTATCTGTATATATATGTGTATATGTGTGTGTACATATGTGTGTGTATATGTATATATATATGTATATATATATATTTTTCAAATGTGTATATATATATATATTTGTGTGTGTGTATATATATGTGTATATATATATGTGTGTGTGTGTGTATATGTATATATACATACATATGTGTATATATATATATATATATATATATATATACATACATGTGTGTATATATATATATACATATGTGTGTATATATATATATATATATATACATACATGTGTGTGTGTGTGTATATATATATACATATATATGTGTGTATATATATATGTATATATATATATATATATAGGTACATACATGTGTGTGTGTGTATATGTATATATACATACATATATATATATATATATATATATATATATATATATATATAAAAAAATGTGTGTGTGTATATATATATCTATAACGTATATATGTTATATATTTACTTCATAACAAGGAAGACTTCAAGCTTGTACTAAAATATGAGAATCTATTGACCTCCGCCTATTCCTGTAAGTAAGGAAAGGATTTATTAACGAACTGTTTAAAATTGTTCCATCGTGCCTGTCTAATATTTTGAAATCTTTTGATTTGCTTTGTAATGTGGAGGACTTCAAGCTTGTATGAAGATATAAGAACCTATTGATCTCTGCGTATTCCTATATCAACGGAAGGGATTTCTTTAACTGTTTATATGAGAAAATAGTTCAATCGAGCTTGTTTAATATTTTAATATTTTGAAATCATCTTCAAATATGTTTAAACAACATCGCCCACGTGACGACGACGTGATCATATTTAAACGGAATGCTGATCTTATATAAAAACTTCAGTTATCTGTTTGGATTAGTTGTGCTCTTATGTCCATCGTCTTTTTCATGTTGAATTTTATATGTTCTAATGTTAATTATGTTTTTATGAATATGTCCTGATGATGGTCTAAAATACACCGAAACGTCCGACGTTGACTTTATATTAACATTAATACAGCATAATTGCATATTAAGATTTTTGTTTGTTTTTTCTGTATATTTTTCTTCAGACTGTCGGATCTATATCCATATATTTGCTTATATTATATATATACACATCTATGTATATATATATATATATGAATGTGTGTGTGTGTGTGTATGTGTATATATATATATATATATATATATATATATATATATATATATATATATATATATATATGTATGTGCAAAAAATGTGTATATATATATATATATATATGTGTGTGTGTGTGTGTGTGTGTGTGTGTGTATATATATATGTATATATATATGTGTGTATATATATATATATATATATATATGTGTGAATATAATATATATATATATAATATATATATATATATATATATATATATATATATATGTGTAAATTATGTATATCTAAAAAAGATATATATGTATATATATATCTATATGATTTATATATATATATATGTCTATGATTTATATATGTATATATATATATCTATGTGCGTATATATTTGTATATATATATATATGTTTATGTTTTATATATTTATATATGTATATATATATATGTCTTTTAAATATATGTGTGTATATTTATATATATGTCTATTTGTATATGTGTGTATACATATATATGTATATATGTATATGTGTATATGATATATATGTGTGTATATATATATATATATATGTATGTCTTATGTGTGTGTATATATATATGTCTATGTATATGTGTGTGTATATATATATGTCTATCAACATGTATGTGTGTATATATATATGTCTATTATGAATATATGTGTGTATATATATATATATATATGTCTATGTGTATATATATATATATATATATATATATATATATATATATATATATATATATATATATATATATGTCATATGCAAATATATATGTGTATATATATATGTATATGTATATATATATATATATATATGTCATAAATGATATATATGTGTATATATATATGTCTATGTGCGTATATATGCGTATATATGTATGTCTATGTGCGTATATATGTATGTCTATGTGCGTATATATGTATGTCTATGTGCGTATATATGTATATATATGTATATATATATCTATGTGTGTATATGTATATGTATATATATTGTATAATATAATTTCTTTGGAACATGTCTGCTTTTTATGTTCTAATATTCTAGTCTTAATTATTTGCCATTTTTTTCTACTCAGCCAAGATTAGCATCATCATTTGTGAGATTCTTGATTATTCGAAATATAATTTGTTGATTTCTTAGAAAAATATTTTCATTTGAATGTTAGAATGTGCACTTATTGATTGTAAATTATCTTGCAATGTTTTGTAAAACATAAAAGATTCTCAAGCTTTTAATTGTATGAGCAATAAATCCTTTTTGAAAGGAAAGTGACGGAACAAATGGCAATTAATGGAATGACACATTCTGCTTAGCTTTGATGTTTTCTTTGTTTCTTTCTAAAGTTTATAGATCAATCAGTGATGAACTCTTTCAGTTTCTCATTGATATTTGTAACTGACTGAAAATAGGATGGTATCTATATGCCAAAGTTTAGTCTGCACTTTGAGTCATTATAGCCACGTAGTTTCAAGTTAGCCATTAAAGTGACCTGTTCAACACAGGCTGGTATTTTACAAGTTGTATCAAGTTTAATACACTGCACTTTTGATGTGTCTTCATGATGGCATTTTAAACTTGTTCTCTGCTTCATGCTTCTCAGGTTTATTTATGGTCTCCAAACATTTAGCCTTCATTTTATATCCTCATTCTTTTACAGATTTACTTGTTGATAAATAATATAAATTTTTCTCTTTTATTTTCATGACTACTAATATATTTGCCTTTTGAATATTTAAAGTATTATTTTAGTTTTTTTATAAATAATTTATTAAAACATTTCAAATTGGCAGTCGAATGAAAATTGTTACAAACCAGAACTGATCATTATTTTACTCTTTCCTTTAAATTATGCTTTTATTCTTTAGAACTCAAGATGAATCGTTCCTAACTTGTGTTAAGGAGTTCAGTAGTTGTCCACCTCCTTTGTGGTTTCTAATTCTCTGAATTCTAGCCATACATACATACATGTTTTAGTTCTATTAGAATGCATATTATGTATATTTTCAGATTATATGCATATCTATATTTAAAATATATCTTTATAGAAATATATATACATAAAACTTGAGCTTGATTGGAATTCAGACTGATAAAGCAGGATATATTCACTGCTCTCTATTCTTCTTAATAGCTACTTCATAGTTTTACTATTAATCATTTTTGTATTTAGACCAAACAAGAGTGGATGTCCAAATTATGGAAATCCTCATACCTTTCTTTTTGTCATTAGATAAAAAAGTATAAATAAAGCAACTTCCCCATTTGAAACCAAAAACAGAAGAAAAGCAAAATCAGATATAAAATATTTTTTTTAATAACAAATCAAACAATAAGTAAAATGAATATTTTTCAACAGATGAACCACCATTGTCAATGCAAAATTTACAATCTTTTATGAAAACTTTGAATAGCATTTTGATACATTTCAGGTAGCATTTACTTAAAATTGGTTATGCTTTCTGTTGCTCATTATGCTATTTACCAAGCAGGTAAATCCTTTACACTTTCAGCAGAGAAGCAACTCTAGTTCATGATACTACCTCCACCATGCTTAATAGATAACACATGGTAGATAATATTCTTTTTTTTCTTCTTTCACAGAGTCTTCTATTTGAAGTGAACAGTTCAAATTTAGAATTGTTTGTCCAAAAACACTTTTCCACTGAGCAATGTTCCATTTTCTGTATTACATGACAAATTTGAGC